ATATATATATATATATATATGTATATATATATATATATATATATATTAACTAAATTGCTAAACTTAAAATTAATTTAAACACAAAAATTTGCTTTTTCTTAGTTATCAAATGAGACCCATTACGAAAATGTACAAAATGTGTGAGAGATATCTTTTGGTATACGCATCCCAAACAAATCCAGAATAAACAACTTTTTGGATCTAATGAGGTGCTCAGTGGTCCATGGGCTTCCCTCCATGTATAATTATGCCAGAGCGGAAATGCACTTACACTTAGGGGAGATAAAAGGATTTGTAAAGCTATGTAAGTACAAAAAGAAAAAAGAAAAGAAAAAGAGTGGCGTAAGCGATCAATAATTAATTTACTTTCAGCAGTCAGGGGCAATTAACAGACTTTCCCCCCATTACAGTCTAAAAGGCCACATTGCCTTCTTTCCCCGTAATCTGACTCTGATCATTGTGGCAATCACGGATTACCAACCACGAAATCGATACGAGAGGATACGAACCACTACACATTTGAGCAATTAAATCACATGGTTCATATGTCCTGAAAGGTGCAAAAGGAATTTGCCACACATTGTGGTAATTTACAAGTCTTCCAAGGTAAAGAACTTGTGATTCTGGCAAGAGTAAGAATGAAGAATTTAAATTGGCAAGCATTTTAAAGACACCTTACTTTTGAATGCTTTTGTCCTTGATGAATCAAATTTTTGGCTCTTCTAACATGAAATATTTTCAATATTATTCAACATTTCATACACAGTATGAAGGTCTCATCAAGTGCATAGATGTATATGTTGAATATAAAGTGTACAAAGTATTGTTTTTCAGTTCTGTTTTGAAACTGCGTCATCCATTCATTGTTTGTGTATGTCTTCCATCTCCTCTATGAAAAGCAGTAGCTTCTGAGCATGTGTGTGCTAGCCCAACATCAAATATTGACATTCAGATGCTGTAGTGTCTCTCAGTCAGCCAAGAAGAGATAAAGTCAAAATTCCAGTCACTGTTGAGTTCGAGGACGTACAGGTATAAAGGCAGGATTTATTCTCTAAAAGGTTTAAGGGAAAGTGTAAAGGTATTTGTGGTACAAGATATACAACACAAGGTTATAATAAGCTCCACGTAAAGTGCGGCACTCCTCTTGATGTAGGGTACTCTCTCTCTGGCTGTCTAGCGCTCTCTCCCTCTTCTTCAGTACACTACTCAAGTTCCCATGCTGGATGCTGACAGTTGCCTGCGGCATTCAAGAAAAACTAAAAAAAAAAAAAAAAAA